GTGCCACGATTTGTCGTCGAAGTCGACCATCGGCACCTCGGTCTTCCGAGAGCGATTCTGCGCGCAGAGCAGTACTTTCAGCTGCCCCAGCTCCGAACGGTGCTCATGGTACGCATCTACGAGCGCAACCTTGATACGGGCCGTTTTGGAGCGCTTGCAGTCGTCTACGCTCGTCGCCGAAACAATGCCGTGTATGCCCGACAAGCCGTCAGCATTGGCACCGCGGCGCTCTCGGCCGCGGCTTTGGTGCACGTCCCACAAACGATCCGACGCTTGCTGCAGCAACAGCCGCACGACGCTCGTCTGGCAGAGCTGGTGGACGACGGGCATTTGTCGTGGCCAGCCCCACTGGGACCTGCACCGACGATCACGGTGCAGGCCACCGACATATTTTACCGAAGCCCCGGCCTGCAACTTGGGCCTCACGGACATGGTGCGAATCTGTGGCCCGATCTGCACATGGACCTGTACCGGATCACGGCGAAGATTGCCAACCATCTTCCAGATCGCCACTAACCCAAATGCATTGACTTGCTTACGGTCCACAACGTCCTTGTCGCCGAGATGATTGGCCAGGGTGGCAACTACGCCATCGCCAGTCGGGTGGTGGAACCTGCGACATTCCTGGGCTGCACGGCGACGAGCGCCAAGCGCACCGCATTCCGGACGCCTCGCTCACCCAACTCAGCTCGTACTAGCCGATACCCATGACCTTCGCATGCCTCGGTTCGTCGTTGAAGTCGACCAAAATCATGTCGGTCTCTCAAGCTCGATGCAGCTCGCAGCAGAGTACCCAGCTCCGGACGGGGCTCCTCCTACGCATCTGCGAACGCACCCTCGAGACGGGCGCGGTTGGTGCCCTCGCAGTGGTGTACGCCCGCCGCCGCAACAACAGCTTCAGTCTTTGCCAAGCCAAGAGCATGGGCACGGTGGGACTCTCGGATGCGGCGTTGGCTCACGTGCCAGAAGCGATCCAAGCACTCCTGCCATCACACGACACTCGCTTCTGAGAGCTGCTTGACGATGGGTACTTCCTGTGGGCAGCGTTTTTGGGACCCGCACCGACACCGACAGTCACGGTGGCGGGTCGGGACGTCGAGTCAGGCACCGCTACCGGTATGTGACCGCAGCCTCTGCCACGTCAAGCGAGCCATCCGCATAAGTAACCGTTCAAAATCCACCATCCGGATATCGAGCGCTCGATATTCCTGCGCACTGGCGCTGGCGAGCATGAGCGACCCGACGTCCAGCTCGAGCGAGAACGAGGCTGCGCCGCCGCGCGCTGTCGCCGGCAGTGGAGCATCGCTGCCGGATGCGATGTCTCGGCCGCCATTGCCCTCAGCGCCGCCTGCAGAAGCAAGCGCGCGGTCCCAGGCCCGGCGGTCTTTGCTTGCAACCGCCTCGTCCAGCGCCGTGCCGTCCAGCGTCGACATGGCGCTGCCGTATGCAGGTAGTCGCTCAATAGAACCCACTCCAGCTGGCCGACTTCGCACGAAGCAATCGCCGAGGCAGCCCATAGATGCCTCTGGTGTCCTTGAAGCGGTCGCTATCCCAAGCTCGCTCGGACAGGCGGCAGCGACCAGCAATGCCACGCTGCCTCGCTCGCCCACCGCGATACCGAGCGCTGTCACACTTCAGCCGCTTGCTCTCAGCCCCGACATCATCGTCATCGAGTCGTCGGTCGACGAATGTGCCTCCAGCCAAGAGGATGTCGTGGCGAGTCTCGTCGTAGAGCCGGCGCCGGCCAGTGACGACGTGGCGCCCAAGGAGTCCGGTCGTCCAAAGCCCGTTAGCAGTGTATGCACGCCGCTGCAGGACGCGATCGTCTTTGTCCCCGAGTGCGTTCCGGACGAAGCGCTCTGCATCAGCGAGGGCTGGTGCTCGATCTGCAACGGCGGCGACAGCCAGAAGGACGATCTGATTGTGTTTTGCGACCGGTGCGGTATCCCAGTGCACCAGAGTTGCTACGGCATTGCGTCGGTGCCGTCGGGCGATTGGTTTTGCCACCGCTGCGTCGAGCTCAAAGACACAACGATCCCGAGCAATGCGATGGTGTGCTACCTCTGCCAGCGCTACGGCGGCGCCATGAAGCCGCTGCGAACGCTCTCGCCCAAGGGCACACAAGCCTGGGCCCACGTGCTCTGCGTGTGGTGGGATCCAGACGTGCTCATCGAGGACATGGTGCGCATGGAGCCGCTCTCGGTCGTGCACGCTCCGCTCGCCGAGCGCCGACAGTCGCCGTGCGTCCTCTGCAACCGCAGCGAAGGCTGGCGCATCAAGTGCCATTGGACCCACTGCAACGCGTACTTTCACGCGATCTGCGCGCGCATTGGCGAGGCCAACCGCATCCAAAAGCACCGCACACCGGTGTACAGCAAGCTCAACGGCGCGCGTGGCCGCGGCGGGCTGCTCCAGCTCGACATGGACGAGGTGCCCCGGGTCGCGTACCATGCGTACTGCGATCGCCACGCCCACTGTGAGTTTGCCCTCGACGATCTCTGCGATAAGCTCGTTGCGTCCGACCTCGTGCACGACGCCAAGGCGCTCGCCCGTCTCGACGCGCTTCGCACCTCGAACGGCGACGTCGACAAGTTCCTCAAGTCGGTCGCCAAGGCGCTGGTCCGCGTTGCCGAAGCCGGCGCGTCGACGGCCGGCGACGCCAAAGAGTATGAGAAGAGTCATCTCCAAGCCGTCCAGCTCGTGCTTGACCATTTGCCTCAGATCCACACCACGTACCCCGCCTGCTCATTGCACGCGCACGACCTCGTGCCCGAGAGCCTCCTTGAAGCACTGAGTCAAACGTTTCTCGACGGGTCCCCGGACCCGTTTCTGCAGTGCCACACGTGCGAGGCGGCGATGCACCGCAGTGAGAAGATGTGGTATTGCGACAACCCGACAGGGCCGCACGCCAACCACTGGAACTGTCTGCGCCAGCGCAAGGCCCACGCGTCGAGCAAGCGCAAGCCCGAGAAGCGTCTGAAGCGCGCCGCCAAGCCCAAACCACCCGTCCCCGATGACCCGTCGGCGCTCGTTCCGACGTACAACGACGGCGCCGTCTACTGCGGCGTGTGCGACCACAACGTCGACCTACGAGCGCTCGTGTCGGTGGCCAAGCCCAGCGACGCCACCGAGGCCATGTCGGCAGCGGCCGTGCGCACCGTGGTCGTGCCGCCAAAGCCCGACGGACCACTGATCAAGGCGCGCCTCGGGCCGCCGCCCAGCGATCGGTTCCGCGTGGAGCGGGCGTCGATCATGTGCAACCACATTGTCAGTCTCCTGCCGCTGCTGCAAGCGTACTATGTGACACCACCAGACGATGACGTGGCCGCACGCCAAGCCATCGACGACAAGTTCGTCGCGCTCCTGAGCTACCTCAAGCCGTTCGATGGGTATGCCTACGGCCGCATCGACGAGATCTTTACGCTCTTCAAGACGCGGGGCCGCGGCCCCGGCCTCGCGATGCTCAGGAGCCTCGTCCGCGAGTACACGCGGCTCATGTACACCAAGCACGTCCGCGCGCTCGAGAAGGCAGCCGCCGAGAAGAAGGCCAAGGAGCTTCAAGACGCGGCCGAGTTCAAGCGTGTCGGCGAGGACGCGGCGCTCAAGGACCAGCTGCTCGCAATGAAGAAGAAGGAGAAGGCGCGCGAGCGCAACCTCAAGCGCAAGCTCGAATCCGCGAGCAAACTCGCCAACAAAAAGGTCGCCTAAAACAACGCGAGTGTATGATGCAAGAACGTTAGAGGCTGTTTTGGTTGCCAAGGCGGCGGGCGCCACGCGTGCCCGTGCGCTTGTAGCGCAGCGCTTCGTACTTGGACGAGTAGTCGTCAATGTTGACGTACGTGCCTTGGAGGTGACGAACGCCGTCGGACGTGGGCTGGAAGGCCTCGCGGCCGTGCAGCATACTAAAGACATGTGTCACATGACGCCGTTGCAAGAGAGAGGAGGCTACCGGCGCTGGTTGAAGACGACGAGGTCGCCCTGCGCGAGCTTGAATTGAATGACGTTTTCGCCCTCAATGATGGCTTCGAACGCACGGTACGCGGCGTAGTAGGCTTCGATGTCACCTTCGGCGATGCGCAACGGCCCTTCGAACGGCGGGCTCCAAAAGACACCGTTGACCTAGATGCATTCGTTCGCGAGATGCTGCTAAGAAGACGAGGCTACCTCGCCGTGGTGGTTGAGCGTGATGTGCGGCCGCTGGTACTCCATGATGGCAGGCGACGCGCGGTGCAAATGAATCTTCTGGAACGTGGCCGGCACGCGCGTGAGCGTCGCAAAGTGACTTGGATGCCGCGCCTGTAGCGTCGCCGCCGCGTCAAACGTGTCGCGAAACGTCGACTCGCCTAGAAAGTGCAATCTCATGACGTGGCAGCACGAGAATCAACTACCGCCCGCGACCGTCGTATCAAAGCGCAGGGCGTGCAAGAACTGTAGGCCTGGCGGCGACTCGTAGTACGCAAGGTCCAAGTGCAGTTTGAGACGCTCGGCCGTATACGCAATGTTGACCTACGCGTGTTGAAGAATGGCAAACGAAAGCGGTAGCTACCGGGTCGTGCTCAGCGACAACGTCAAAGACCGAGCCGTAGAGGCACCTAGAGACATGGAAGAATGAGGTTCAAGCACGTGCGGACGATCTGTGCTTACGAGTGCGAGATGGGCGCGATCCGCTCGGCAAACCGCTGCACTTCGCCAGCGTCGCACGGCACGTTGCGCACAACCGCGTACCCCGACGTCATGATCGTCTCGAGAAGGGTCATCATGCCGTCCTCGCGCAAGACATCGTCGTGCTCGATGGGTGTCACAGGCGTCCTACGCCGTCATAATAGTCAGAGAAGACGGGGGCTGGATCCTGTACGTCGACGGCGGCGGTCGCGTGGCCGGGTTGGGCTTGTCGTGGTTGGAGTGGCAGAGTGATCGCACATACGCTGGCGCAAAGACACTCTGATGACCCTCCCACTGAATCGCGAGGCCGTCCGCCGTTACTGGGCATGCGTGAGGTCGATCGATTTAGGCGCCGTACCGTCGAGGTGCTGGATCACAGGGTTGGCTGGGATGTCGGAAATGTTGATGAGGCGTTGGCCCGTGCTGTGCTGGCACAGCGGACACGTGCACCACGCGCGGAGGTGCATGGCGTGGAAGCGACTGGCGTGGCCATCCGACCACTCGACGTGGACCGTGTTGGCGCCACGAAGGGTCGCTGCTTGGATCTATGCGGTCCAGGTACGATAGCAATCGCAGCCATTGCAAGGACCGCGTACCGAGGGCGCGGTCGTCGAGAACGTCCGGCGGCTGGCAGACCGAAGGCGCAGGAACATGGTGTTTGCGAAACTCGCCAGTCGGGTGATGATGATGGCGTCTTTTCTATAGAGCCGCAAGCTGCCCAATCAAACGCCGCGAGGGTTTTATGCAAGGCGATCTGCCATCGCGCGACGCCACGTATCTTGGATCCGAGTGTCGAGAAGTAGCCAAGCTCGAATGCGCCTCCCAACACTGCCGACGCTCCGAATACACAGTCGTTGGGCATGAATTAGCATTCTTTGATGCTAAAAACGAGGGTGCTCATTATTCGTCGACTAGCCATTGTTATGACCTAAGTTTGATGGACAAGGGCATAGCGGCGACCCTACAAGGTGGCGACGATCCGTCGTTACCAACGGCACGCGCGGCCCGAGCTCCGCAAAGCCCTGCACGTTCTCGCCGCGTCCTCTCCCACGCCAGAACGCCCCGAATTGCTGAGGCTATTCGCACGTCACTTTGGAATTATCAAGTTTGAGAGTATTCTTGGAGAATGTATGTGGTCTGGTTCCGCGCCGCGCTATGCCGTCGGACGCCGCCCACGCCCGCCAACGGTCGCCTCCTTGGTACATCACTAGCGTACATCGGTCAGCCTGACGGGAGGGCGAGCTGACGATGCAGAAACAAGGTGCACGGCCGGACCTGCCGACGTCAACATGTGAGAAAATTCACGAACAGCAACGCTGTGTCGCGAACCGGCAACACCGTCGACCGATCGATTGGACTTGCCCTCAACTCCGATCAACCAACCTCCCTCAACTTCCGTCAAGCACACCATGCCATCGTGAGCGCACTGTCAACCCAAACACGCCCTCTACGGTGTGGCCTGTCAATCAATGAGGTCGCCCAGCAAGGCCCGCAGCGCTGTCGTCAGCGATCGATCGACATAAATACGTAGGAGGCATATTGCGTGGAGAAGCCTTTGCGTTGTTGTGTTCTGTCCTCGGCGTCGCGCGTTCGTGGCTTTTCGGCTAAGGTGGCGTGAAATTAGCGTCTCACATCGTCCTCCTCGCGGCCGCATGGACTTTGGCAGGTCCAGCTGCTGGAGCCATTGGCCGAAAAGGGCGGATGGAAATGACTGGTTCCGTGGCTAAGGCCCGCGGCTTTGACAGTAAATTTGCATCATTTTTGAAATCTCAATTGCCATGGCCGACGAAGACTACCATTTCGAATCCACCGATGCCGGTGCCTCGCTGACGTACCCGTCGGAGGCTGGCCAGGTCAAGAAGGGCGGCTTCATCATGATCAAGGGCCACCCGTGCAAGGTTGTCTCGGTCTCGACGTCCAAGACGGGCAAGCACGGCCACGCCAAGTGCAACTTCACGGCGCTCGACATCTTCACCAACAAGAAGTACGAAGATATCGTGCCGTCGACGCACAACTGCTCGGTCCCGTTCGTCTCGCGCGCCGAGTACACGCTCCTCGACATCTCGGACGAGGACTACGTCTCGCTCATGGACGACTCGGGTGACACCCGCGAGGACATCAAGCTCCCGTCGATCCCGGAGGGCTTTGGCGACGAGATCCGCGCCGACTTCGAGGCCGGCAAGCAGCTCGCGATCTCGGTGCTCCGCGCGTGCGGCATTGAGCAGATCATTGCCAAGAAGGAAGACACGACGGCGTAAGCTCTTGGACTTCTAGGCTTAGAGATTTCGGAGTAAATCCCCTGATCCAGAATCATATTTTAAAAAGGCTCAACAGTGATCATCGGACTCAACAGGCAGACGACCAGTGTCGTCGGCAGCACGAGGAAGAGGACCCACGCCAGCGCATACAGCATCTACCACCCATGAGCCCGAGCGTAGAAAGACCGTCATCGTCAACCTTGGGTGCAAACACACTCCAGATGAAGAGGTGGAAGCGCATGATGTACACGATCACACTGGGTCAGAATGGGCCACGAGTCCTCACCACGATGGAAGATGAGTACCTGTAGACGGTGAAGTTGCCGAGCTCGAGCGTCCAGTAGCCACCGAGCAGGCTGCGGGCGTCGCGCACGGCGGCGAGCTGCGAGCTCAGCACGAGGAGCGGGCCGGTAAACACGATGAAGGCCGTGAGCCCGCCCACAAGGACCTACGACACGACCATCGTAGCGTCGACATAGGCTCAAGATGCAAGCTACCTGCGAGTACGACGACAAGCCCGTGTACGCCTTTGAAATGTCGATCGTCGTCATGAGGTGCGAGTTGCCAAGCGCGAAAAAGCTGGCTTTCGAGAGGTAGACGACCAGCGGCAAGGCGCGGATGCCATCGAGCGCCTGCACGAGCCGCGTCGCCGCGTCGAGCTGCACATGCAAGAGCGCCAGGGCCAGTAGGTTGGTGTCCCTACGTCGCGCCACGTCATCTGCCTGCAGGAAACGAAGAAGATTACCGCTGTAAGAGAAACGCGAGAAGCCAGAGCGCCTTCATGGGCGACGACCGAGACGCCAGCGCAACGCCCGCCTCGAGCACGACGCTCGCATAGACAACGTGCGCGGCCGCGTCGACGGCCGTCCACGCAAACACCACCGACGCGGCCATGCCAACGGTCCATACCGCCTGCATGGCCGCCGTTGAGGATGACGAGGATCGCACGAGCTCGGCCAGCACGACGTAGGCAGAAGCGAGGACGCGCTCGACATGCAGTGAAACAAGCCCGTGCGCAAGCGACCGCGTCGTCAAGATCGAGACGGCGTTGTCGTGTTCGTACTCGAGGCCGTCGCGAGTGCTCCCCGCGGCGACGTCAAAGGTGTTGAGCCGACCAAAGTTGATGATTTGGTTGCGACTGCGAAGGAGGCGGGCAGTGACCAGCACGAGCAGCCAGCAAGTCCACAATCCGCGACCTGCACCACCACAAGATGAGGCGTCGATCAAGATCGAAGAGTACGTACGCTTGGCCAAGACACAGTCGATCGCGAGCCAGACGAGGTACGAGACCAAGAGAAAGTTCCACACAACATGTTCGTTCTCGATCGATGAGCTCGACCCGAGACTAACGAGCTGGAGCAGCGTCCAAAAGCCGAGACAGAGCTCGTAGTGGGACGGGCGCCGCAGGAGCAGCTCATGGAAGCGGCACGCCAGCACGAGGCCGAGGACGCCGACACCAATGCCGGAGAGCATGTGCATCGTGTTGTACTCGCTGCCGTCGCTCGTCAGTACAATCGCTTGCAGCGACGTCAAAGCGGCCTCCATGCGACGTCGCGCCAGCGCTAATGGCATGTTCGTACTGGCCGCGTGCCAGTCGAGGGCAACGTTAAACTCGTGGGCAAAGCTCGCCCAAAACTTGGCCGAGTGCTTGGGTGTCGCCAAGGCGTGCAGTTGGCGGACGTTGGCCTGGAGCGCAGCAATGACGAGCGCTTCGTCACGCACCGCGGCGTCCAGGACAGGCGTGAGGGCTTTGCCCGTGTTGTGCGCCGGTATCGGCACGCCGAGGAGCGTCGCCAACGTCGGAACGAGGTCGACCTGCGGCGTGCGCGTCAACAGATCCGAGTCCTCGATCGCGCGATACGCTGGGGGCAGCACGAAGAGCAGGAGCGCCGACGACTCTTCAATCGACGCGCCGCCGTGGTTTCCCGTCTCGGTCATGCCTAGAGACCAGAATATCTAGTTCGCTTGCGATACGGCTAAAGCGAGGTACCGTGGTCCGAGAGCAGCACGAGGAGCGTCGATCCGTTGCGCATCGCGTCCTGCGCTTGGATCGACAGATGGATCGACTCGATCGTAGCGTCCATTTCGCTGAGCTTGGCGCGCATGAGCGGCGAGTGCGGGCCCGTGAGATGGCCAATGTGGTCGACGCCGAGGTAGTGGAGGAAGAGAGCGTCCCAGTCGTTGCTTTTGGGCGACGTCATCGTCGGGTCGAGCTCTTCGCGGAGGTGGCGCGTCACGTTCGTGTCGACTTCGACCGTGTCGAGGGCGAAGAAGCCCGACGTTGGATCCGACCGGACGAACGCTGTCGGAAACAGCTGCAGCCACGTCTCGTCGCCGTAGAGCACCATGCGCCGGCCCGCTACGCAGGCACACGATGCGGATGGTGTCATTGTCGGTTGAGGATGTACCCGCGCCGAGCTGCGCGATGAGGCTGTCTTCGTCGAGCGCTTTTGAATTGAAATTGCGCAACACGTCGATAAAGGCCGGCTTCTTGCCTGTCGTGAGCGCCTTGAGTCGCGGCATGGTCACTACAGGCAGCTATGACGTGCGTCGTGGGCGAGAGGCGGTGGACGACCTGTGGGCACGGCCGCGTGGCCAATGTACGCGATGCTCTCAGGCGACGAAGCGAGCTGCGCCGTGTAGGGCATGTACGATCGTAGCTCCTCGGTCGCGTGGGCGTGCTGGACGGCGGCGGACCCGAGGACCATATCGGCGCGGAGCGCGTCGACAACGACAAAGACGAGCCGGTCAAAGACAGGCGGGATGGCCGGTGGGACGCTGCTCGGCGGCGCGACCTTGGCGAGCGGCGCCTGGAAGACGTCGAGGTCGAGGCCAAAGAGGCCGCTGGCGCCGAGGAAGGCGGCGACAAGCGCTGCGGCGCAGATGGCGCTAACTCGCGCCGTCGACCAGACCAGCATCGTGTTCGAATGTGGCGCCGTCGGGCGAGTCCATTCCGATTGGCATATAAATAAAATAGTTTTAGCCAATCTATAGACGAGTCTGGTGGATGGTTATATCGGATTGGTGTAAAAGAGTGTATTTTGAACAAATCATGGTGCGGCTGCTGCAGCGTGATGTCGACTGTCGACATTGCTGTGGCTATCGCTCATAACGATCCGTCGCCTCCGTTATAACGAGGTGCAGCCAAGGTTCGAGCCCTACCGGTTGTAGTTATTACGCATGAAAATAGCATGCCCTCCGCACGATTTAGCTGTCTCGGTGGTCGACGCGCAGGTCGTTCAAGGTCTTCAGCTCAATCTCAGCTCAACCTCGGCAACCCCGCCTTTGATGAGCCATTTTTGCTTGTTCGCAATGATCGAGTCTCTTGCCCTTATGTTTCAATGAGGATGTGAGTGGATACAGCGTGCAGCTCACCATGTCCTCACCCACGAGCAACACGCACCGGTTCTCGTCTCGTTCCTCGATCGGCACCCAATGTGCAGTAAACTTTAGTTGATTGCCAAGTACTAGTGCATAGTAGACTTCCATTCACTACAGTTTGGTCTGTGTAAATGGCACCCATGAAATTCGATTGTCAGTCTAAGTGGGAAAATTTGTAACGTAGCCACAGCACAAAAGCGGTCACTGTGGTGCGCACTGAGTTCAGCAACCAAGCACTCGAATCTGATGCGCACAGTGGACGACGGAGAGAGGTGATAGTGATGCCTACGAAAGACGAGGGCGATTTCTTTCGTCCCGACGATGCTTCACTCGCTCATTTTCCAGCACGATGCTGAAGAACCATAAACACATATGTTGTGCTCCATTGTACGCACTTTATACGATTTTTTGTGGCCATTTCATGCCACTCATCGCTTGGACCTGGTGAATTGCGCTGCGTGGTACACTCTAGTAGCTATCACAACAAGAGTTGTTGCCGCCAGGTTTTACAGTTGCCAACCGGGCCGATGCCTTCGTTGGGGCCATTACTTGCATCTGGTTCCCAACCTCTCAGAAGGCATATTTGTCTAAATGGGACAAAAAACGAGATCCCATTTACACAGAGTATACTGTAGTATGTATCGTCTCGACTTGGCTCGGTCATCAGTCCCAGCTTCATCGAAAGCCCCCTCCGAAAAGCCGGGCTAGCGCTGCAGTTGCGCCGCATCCTGGACCTTCCCGCGATGCTCGAGCGCGTGCCGCAGCAAAGTGAGGCGTCCCATGTCACCGCTGTGTTGATACTTTGATATCTCGCATTTTACAACACTATATTACGTCTAACTCTATTTTTATACGTGGCACATGCCACATTGTAGTACAACGGGCATGGACAGCGACAACGAGGTTGACGCGTTCGCCGCGCTCCTCGAGACCGACGACGGTGTGCGCACGCTTGTGCGCTACATCCAAACGCCAAGCGATGCAGACGCTGACGACGCGGTCAACGCGCTCGCGCTCTTCTCGGACCATGGCACCAACGAGCGCATTGCACGCCTCTTGCAGGACGTCAAGGTACGACCATGGCGAGTCGTTCCATGACCTCACGTATGCTCTAGCTCGTGGATACATTGCTGAGCCATGCAAGCCTTGGCGACGTCGAGGAGGACTTGCACCTGCCTATCTGGCGGTGCTTGGCCGCCTGGGCCCACGGCGCCGCCCCGCTCGTGCCGGCGCTCTGGGCCGCCCGGTCCTCGCTCGTCCAGCAGTCGTTCGCACTGCGTCACGCCTCGCTCTCGACGACCTCTCTTGTGCGTCATCTATTATAGTCGTGCTAAGATACCAAAGCGATAGCCTAGGTGAGTGCCACGTTGACGTCGCTCGTGGCGTCGATCGGCTCAACGCTGCAGCCGCGCCCAGACAAACTCTTTTGCGGGCTCGTGGACGCCGACGCAAACGGCTTTTGCGACCTCCTCAAGCAGTACTATGTCTTTGGCGGCAACACTGGCCTCCTCGACCTGATCCGGCGCGTCCTCTCGACCAAAGCGGAAGCCAAGGCTCTCTGCAGCAGCGGCCTTCTCCGGCTCTGGGGACGCGAGTGGCATCAGCAGCACGACACGACCTTTGGTGCCAAGTGGACTGCACTGCTCTCGCACCTCGCAGAGGTCTTGCACCCGCAGCGCCCGATTCTCTACTCGGGTAGACTACATGCATCGAGGATGTGGCTCATGGCCTGCACGCATCGTAGGCAGCGACGGCGACAGCCAGTGGGCCAGCGCCTTTCTCGCACTGGCGCTGAGTCCGCTCAAGTGTGTTTGGATGGAGATGGCGCCGCTCGTGCTCGATGCACTCGGCACTGCCACGTTGGCGCCGGTGCTCCAGTCGCACCCCCACTGCCACGGCGCGCTGCTTTGGCTCTTGTCCAAACCCGACGCGATTCCTTCTGCAACAACCCGCGCCGAGCTCGAGGCCATCGCGATCGACTGCGAAATGGCCAACCGCGTGGCTCTGCCAACGCTCGAGATTGGCCTCGCACTCCCCGAGGCCCTCGCAATGGCCACGTCGCTAAAAGCCAGCGGCAACCGCTGGTTCAGCCTGGGTATGCGCGTCGACTCTTCTCGTCGACGTCTTATTTCTTATTCGGACTTGTCTAGGCAATCATGCGGCTGCGCGGCAGTTCTACCGCCTCGGTCTCTCGACGCTCAAGGTGGCGGCGGCCACGGCGCGTCAAGCGCTCTCAACGCCGACGACAACCACCGCCTTGCCGGTTGGCGCGTGCGTTGAAGTACGAGTGTTGGAAATAAGATTGAGCTCGGCTTAGGCGAAACTAGGTGCGTCAAGGTGACGGAACCCGCTGGCCGGCAATGGTCAGCGACGTCGATGGCCCCACCCGCGTCGAAGTCATTTACGACGCGTCGGGCGATGACGACACTGTGGACCTCTCGCGCTGCCGCCTCTGCCTCTCGTTCTCGGATCAAAGCGCGCTGAGCGCCCTTCAAGTCGCGCTGTGCATGAACTTGGCCAAGAGCCTCTCGCATCTGCGCATGGTCCCCGAGGCCATCGAGTGCCTCCATTTTGGTCTCGAGCTCGCGCCCGACCATTTGCCTGCGCTGTACCTGCGGTATCATGTTTCTCACTTGATCTCTTGATACTACATGTGGAATCGCATGCTAGAGGACTGCTCCACATGCAAACGCTGCAGCTCAAGCCTGCGAAAGACGATTTTTTCCGCGCCAACAAGATGGCGGGCGAGCGCAAGGACAAGGCGACGCAAGTGCAGATCCACAAGGCGTGGAAGCGCCTTCAGGTGCTCACGACGCAGCGCAAGAAGGCCGACAAGAAGCTCATCAAGGACATGATGGCGTACCTCGACACGCTCGCAATTGACGGCGAGTAGGAGGCTTCTTTTATAAAGCATGCAGCCCTCTTGTTATCGTCGGGTAGTCGCAGGGGACCGATAATGCATAGCCACTCGTTGTCGTGGGCGAGCGTAGCGCCAAGAGGTATAGAGGCAGCTACTGGAGGCCGTCAAACTCTGCGGAGAACACAAGTGCGCACTGGTGCCCGGCCCAAAATGCGATATCGAGCTATCGATGTATCTTGGTACGCGAATGAGGTCGAGCGACTGAGGACGGTAGAGTCCTCGGTGATCACGCTACCTTTTGCTATAGGTCCTGTACGCCTGTCGATTTCGTAGTCAGAGGGTTGTTGCTGCAGAGGATGACAGGCGCGTCGACAAACCCACAACTCTATTATAGAATGGGAGGGCTATAGATGATGCGGCCGGATCTTTCGTCAGGCATCTACTGCACCTTCTTCACCGAGCGCTTAGCTGGGAAGCAGTAGCGCTCAATGAAGAACTTGAGGAAGAGCGCAAAGTAGCTTGAGTACATGAGGATGCCCCACTTGAGGTTGTCGTGGTTGACGTAACACGTCGCGCCTCGGCGAATGTACAGGACGCTCATCGTGCACACCGCAACGCCGACAACCATCTATGTATCAACTTGATACATGCAAAATTTAGAGTAAAAAGTACCTGGCTGAGCTGGGCGACGGTCACGAGCAGCGCCCACTTGGGTCGGTACCCCCGGGCCGTGAGAAAGTAGTAAAAGTACATGATCGCGTGCACCGAGTAGTTCATCGCCACAAAGTAGAGGCCGCTACAACACAACAAATAGTGAATCGATTCCCAAAATGTGTTGTGGGAAGACATACCTCGCCGAGCGGACAGCGAACGCGTGCCAGCAGAACATCAAGACGGTAATGTGGTGGTACCAGTGCAGAAAGATGAGCGGCTTCTTGCGCACGACAATAAAGAACGTGTCGATGAGTTCCGGCACCTACGACATCGATGAGCCGCAAGTGCTAACAGCATGCGCGTGCAGGACCTTGGAGAAGATGAAGAGGGCGACCCAGAGACCCGTGGGGCCGTTGCCGTAGTGGTCCGTGGCCTCCGAGCAAATGGACGCATACGCGCCGCGCTGGTAGATCGAGTCGAGCAAGAAGGGCACCGTGCGAACAGCACCGCAGAAGCTAAAGGTCGCCAGCAGCAAGTTCCAGCCCGCGAGCGCCCTACGACTTTGGCATGAGGCATCCGGTAGCAGCTGCAAGGGGCGTACGTCTTGAGGTCGAACGGGGCGCGCGAGGCCATGAAATGACGGCCAGTGTAGCAGAGCACACAGTAGATAGCACAGAGGCCAATGGCGAGGCCCATCGAGTCAGCGCAAAAGCCCGGCTGCCAGCTCGGCACCTACGTCGGTACAACTTTCTCGAGATGTTGCAACTGTGCGCGAGCGGACGTACAAAGTCGCGCTCAAAGGCGAACGGGTAGAGCGGGCTCAGCGCCGGATACGCTTCGTGCAGGGAGAGTGCGCGCATGCTACGTTGACGTCCTCTTTGGTTTTGAAGGTGCTGGACGAGAACCACGGTCGTCGATCTACAATCCGCGCTATTTCGTGCCTGTCGTTAAAACGAGGTATTATTGTTAAATACAAGCGATATCTCGTGCAGAAAGTGCAATCATCTCGGTAAAGCGAGGTGATCTACCACCGGCGTAGACACGATGGCCGTAACTCCGAGCCCGCAACGCCGAGTGTTGAATGGCAGATGGTCTACGACACATGGTTTCATGGAGCAGATGGCGCTAGCCAGTCGGCTTTTCTGCAGCAGCCCCAGCTTTATAGACCCCGTTTCAGACCCATCGCGCGCTAAAGTTAAATGCGCTTGCCCATCCTGTTCTCTGGTCAAATGCGGCTACGACCCCGAGCGAAGTGCACGGGAGGCTGTGACAGCGCCTCATGCCCTTCCTACAGCTCATCCGGTTGGACGATCGCGCATATTGGCCGCACATTCTCGTGATCACGGCGGCGGCTGCTTGTGAAGATAACCACAGTTTGTTGTTATCGAGTCTACACGAACGCTACGCATTTGTGTATCGGATAAATATGGGCTTCTACGAGAGCTGGTCTAGAGGGGTTGAGACTCTGAGTACACGGCAGCATGGATGACTTGGGGTCGGACAGTACGTCAAGTGCACACTCTCCATGGAGCAGCACCAAACACGAGTGTGACTCACGCACCTTGCGTGCAACGGCGAATCCATACAGCACCAGAATTTGAATCCTTGGATAAGACCAAAAGTTATGGCGCGGCACCTCTATTAACGCATCTTATAGCATGATCTTATTCCATGCAGTGGCGTTATGTGCACAGTGCTATGCTCAAGTTCTCTAGAATTACCAAAAAGGTACCACGTTGCATTCGCCGTTGCTTCAGCTGGTGGAGGTACGAGAAAGGGTGCACCATCGCCACCGTCCAATCGTGGTTTAGAGCGCGCTACAGTGGAGTCCTGGTAGACACTACGAGGGTGTAGAGAAAATAGCTGTGCTATTCGGTCGATCTCCAGCATAGTTAAGTCGAACACAGTCTAACGATTTTGGATATTCGATTCTTGAGCGTGTCTCCAAAATATGCGTGGTCTTGAGGTCTCTCGACCCAGCCAAAATGCTTTGCACCTCGGGTCGTCGTTTTATAGAGACGTGGTGACAACTGACAAACCTAGCCACTACCAGTGCATGAAGCGCCGCCATGCCATCATATGTGCGCCGAGGCTACGCTTCATTAAGGCACGAAGACTATGCAGACGTTGCATCCACTCGCGAGCAAAGAATCTGACGCCAAGTGTGCGAATCCGAATACCCTAACCCTATCGAGGTTAGGGTATTGGCATCCAGGCTCTCGTTGGCCGTGTACCTCGTGCGGATGACGTAAAATGTAATGGTATATAGTCCTCGAGATTGCGTACGCTATTGATCAGCCTTCATGCTTGGCACTGCCTAAACACCGCGACATCATCCCACATCGGGACATTGGGCTTGGTGACGTCAGGTCCATGTCCACCGCACCGGTTATGCAGCGCTTCGCAGCTAAAAGCCTTTCAAAAATCGCTGCGCCAGCATAGCATCTACCAAATGCCAATTAGGAAACGGAGACTCGAGCCGTCATTACGTTCAAGTGCACGTGCTGCTGTTGAAACAATTTGGCGCGAAACGGAGACGCGAGTGGTTATTACGTTGAAGTGCACGTGCTGCTGTTGAAACAATTTGTCGCTCTTCCTTGTGGGCAGCCAACTCCTTTTTGAGCATTCCTGCGCTGTTGAGCATTCTCCTTGATATCACATTTTACGACTGATAGTCATAGAATGCGTATATCCGAGATCTTGTTGCTTTTGCTAGCGCAAAACGTACAATATTTGTTGTGCAAATGGGGTTATATTCGTTACGAGATCATATCCCGTTCGGTCGTAGGTCGCGTCTACTGTACTAACCTATTGGATCTATTGGACCTTCTTCACCGAGCGCTTAGCCGGGAAGCAGTAGCGCTCAATGAAGAACTTGAGGAAGAGCGCAAAGTAGCTTGAGTACATGAGGATGCCCCAGCTCAGGTTGCTCTCGTCGACATGGCACACGGCGCCTTGGCGAATGTACAGGACGCTCATCGTGCACACCGCAACACCGACAACCATCTATGTATCAACTTGATACATGCAGAATTTGGAGTAAAAAGTACCTGGCTGAGCTGGGCGACGGTCACGAGCAGCGCCCACTTGGGTCGGTACCCCCGGGCCGTGAGAAAGTAGTAAAAGTACATGATCGCATGCACCGAGTAGTTCATCGCCACAAAGTAGAGGCCGCTAAACGTAAAATTAGGGAATCGATTCCCAAAATGTGTTGTGGGAAGACATACCTCGCCGAGCGGACAGCGAACGCGTGCCAGCAGAACATCAAGACGGTAATGTGGTGGTACCAGTGCAGAAAGATGAGCGGCTTCTTGCGCACGACAATAAAGAACGTGTCGATGAGTTCCGGCACCTACGACATCGATGAGCCGCAAGTGCTAACAGCATGCGCGTGCAGGACCTTGGAGAAGATGAAGAGGGCGACCCAGAGACCCGTGGGGCCGTTGCCGTAGTGGTCCGTGGCCTCCGAGCAAATGGACGCATACGCGCCGCGCTGATAGATCGAGTCGAGCAAGAAGGGCACCGTGCGAACAGCACCGCAGAAGCTAAAGGTCGCCAGCAGCAAGTTCCAGCCCGCGAGCGCCCTACGACTTTGGCATGAGGCATCCGGTAGCAGCTGCAA